GGCTTGGAGCCAATTTGTTTCCGTCCCCCCTCTTCTTTTTACCTTTCGCCTCCTGTGTTGGAACTCCTATTTGGGGACTTCCTTGGCTTTTCTCTGGCCCATGTAGGTCCAGTCTTGGTGAAGACTTGACGTTTTCATCCCCAAAAAAATTTTTGATTTGAGTTTCCATTGAAATGAGACTATATTTTAATGTTTTAATGTTGTATTTTAATCTTGTTTTTATGTTGTATTTCAATCAATATGTTTTTATATCGGGTGTTAGCCGACCTGAGCCCGGTCTTGGCTGGGGAAGGCGGGGTATAAATAAAACTTCTTCTTCTTCTTCTTCTTCTTCTTCTTCTTCTTCTTCTTCTTCTTCTTATTATTATTATTATTATTATTATTATTATTATGTATAGCTCAGTTGATAGAGCATAATCTGAGGATTGTGGGTTCAAGACCGACATTGGGCAAAATATTCCCACATTGCAGGACATTGGACTAGATGACCCTCGTGGTCCCTTCCAGTTGCAATTCTATGATTCCATGAACATGAATGTTTTTGCAGGTCCTGCACTGGCATAAGTAGGTGCTGCGTCTTCGATGCTCTGCTCTGCTCTCTCTCCTCTGCCCCAGCCTCTGGGCACTGATCCCTCACCCTTCCAATACAGTTTCCTCATCCATCATCCATTCAGGAGCATCAAGGGAAGCCCAGTTGTGATTTATCCTCCGCAAATCCCTCATCCTCCAGACTGGAGCAGCCCCAGCATTCCTCAAATTGTTCCTTGCATGCCACTACCCACTGCGGTCTCTGTTGGCAGGAGAGCAGACCTTTAGATGTCCTGGCTAAAAATAACATGCTTGAGATAACACCTGCATGGAGGCACAGGCCTCCCTTTCGGACGAGGTCCCACCTCTTCGGGTCTTGGTTATGTCTCTGCAAACCAATATGTTGCTCTGCTCGGAAGCAAGTAGTGCCAGCATAGCTGTCAACTTACAGATTTGAAAATAAGGGACCAGCAGCCTTGAAAATAAGGGACTGGCAGCCAAAATAAGGGACCTACAGCCTCACCTGTTCCAGGCACTCCAGTCTTCCTGTCCTCCTGCAGTCTGGTCAAACTCATGCTGGTAGCTTCGAGAACACTGTCCAACCAACTTTGTAACCAGAGGTTCAATTGAATAGAATCTGAATCACACGCACCACAAGGCCTCAACTTAAGATGGCTCCCCGGCCTGGCTTTGCACTGCAAAGTTTGCAGCAGCACGTGCAACAAAATGGCATCCAGCATTCAAAAAACCCCTCAGCTTGCATTAACTAGCCACACACAAGGGATGCAAGCTCCACCCCCAAGTCGTTCTTAGACTTCTTATTGGGTGAGCAACACAGCCAAGCAACACAGTTGGAGCCTCCCTCCTCCCTGGCCGGCAGGGAGGGAAGGAGAGGAGCTGCTTCCTTTGAAATTTAAGGGACATCATTTAAGGGACATTTAAGGGACATCCATCAATAAGGGACAGCAGCGGGACATGGCGCTGGAATAAGGGACTGTCCCTTCAAATAAGGGACACTTGACAGCTATGAGTGCCAGTAGTGTCCTGGGTGGCTTGTGGGTCTTTGGTGCACAAAGCCTTCTTGTGTGCTATTGTGGCAGAGCTAGGTGGTCCACAGTCTTCTCAGGCCTTGCCAAGATGGCCACATTGATATCCACTGCATAGCAAAGCATCAGTAGGATTTCTCCCAGTGGCTAGAGTCTTTGCTTGTAAATATAAATTGCCATCACTGTGTTTGTGGGTCTAGTGTTCCTTTTTTGCATCAGGCACAGTGTTAAATTAAAATGCCAAGACCATTTAAATGCCAAGTAGCCAACAACGTCAGACAAAAGGGATGTGGGTCTCTGTCTCTAGTCCCCTAAGTGAGTCCTTAACTGGACGTTGTCGGAAGATGGTTGCGAATTCTTAGATAATATTTCCTTTCCCAGTTTCCCACTACAAAAAGATAATTACGGTATATAGTTGGAATAAAAAGATGTACGTGCCACACTTCCTTGTTTCAGGTGGCTGTGTGGTGCCCTCTTAGATAGGGCATGGGGAGGCTTTCTTTCAAAGTGATGGGGAGTAGAAAGGACCATTTCACAGAAAGGATGGAATTCAACATCACTCTTCTACCTGTTCCATCTGCACAAGGATTTCAGCTTGCCAAATAAAACTATCCTCCTTCTTCCCCTTTGCACTGTCCTGGAGGTTCTGACACCCCCCCCCCCCAGGCCAGAGCCAATTTCAGGGGACAAATGGGATTTTTATGTTAGCTAAAAGGGAGGGTGAGTTTAAGAAGGTTGAGAAAGACAGGCCTAGGGGTTGGAATCGGAGTCATAGACTGCCTAGTGGAACAGTGGAATTTCAAGTGAATTTGTGGCAGGCCTAATGAATCCTGTTCCCTACACGTGCTTGGTAAGATGACTGACTCTCAGCTTCCCTGCCAGATTTTAAAAAAACAACTTGCTCCCAAGGAACCCTTTCTTCATTATCTGTTGAGGAACCCTCGAATATCACAGAGGATAATCTAGACCATGTGCTAGGACACGCATTCTGTTCACACAAGTTCACACTAAGATGGTTGGGCCTCACCCATAGCCCTGTGGAAACCTAGAACAATCCCATGGCTGTACATTGCATAGAAGGTCTGTTGTGGCAGAGAAGTTTTCTTCGAACATGGAGAGACAGCCCTCCCTGAAATAGAGCTTGCCATGCCATTCATTAGTGGTCATGATCTTCACATAGAGGAACCTTCAGTAAAACTCTGAGGAAGCTCAGGGTTCCCTTGGAAATATAGCTTGAAAGCTGCCGCTCTAACCATTCTTGACACACATGCATACACGCGTAACTCCATATGCCCAGATCCAGTTGAGATGGGGAACTTGTGTGGTCCTCCAGATGGTTTTGGATTCCAGCTCTCACCACCCCCAGCCAGGATGGTGAATAGTTGGGTATGAGAGGGGTTCTAGTCCAGAAACATCTTGAAGGCCACAAGCTCCCCATCACTACTGTTCACTTGGCACATGAGACGGTTGAATTTGGGTGTCCTCCCTTCTGCCCACCCGCACAACTCACATCCATTGATCATCCGTGTTGCCCTCTGGCCTGTTATTCCGCTCCTCCTTATTCTCCAGACTGTTTCCACTCCTGCTAAGCCTCCATTGGGCCCTGTTGTGGTATTCCCCATGCCAAGTGGAAGGAATGTGCTTGGAGAGGCCGAGCACAGACAGCGGAGATCCCTCTTGTGTCGGCTTGATGGTGATTTATCAGCGCTGTCATGCCACATGCAAGAGCTCCCAGCCTCGCCGGGGCTCAAGAAGATGTTCCATGCTCTACAGGGCTAAGCCGACAGCCAGACGACGGCTCGCCTGCCCCAAATTCCTCTTCCCCCTTTGCTGACCTTTCCCTTGGCATTCCAGGAATGCTCGCATACATGGAAGTGGCTGGTCTGGAGTCGCACATTAGCCCAGAGATCACAAAACACATTAAGGGGAAGCTCTTTGGAGCCATTAGTCTCAGGTGTCTTTTTGACCCTGCAGCAGCCACAGCCGGCTCTGAGATGTTTCAGGTCAACGCAGCAACAAGCGGAAAGGTCAGCTGGCCCTGACCTTGGTCCTACTGAGGGAACTGTGCAGCAGCTGACCTCTACAACCTCCCTGTTTTTGTGACGAAGGCGTCAAGTCATGTTTGGTTGCATGCAGCCAGTGAACTCTTGAGCATCCTCCTCTGCCCCATCCCATGGCTCAAGTTCAGTGCAGACCACCCCAGGTATCACGAGCTGTGCTGAAGCGAGTGCAGAAACAAACCTGCGTAAGGACAAATTTTGGTGCTGCCCACCTTGCGCTGCTCCCTTATCATTAAGCTGTAGAAAGGGCATGTCCCTCAGGGCCAAGTCTGGATTGTGTAACAACCTGGAAGTGTCATTTCACAGTGGAGGAAGAGTTTGTGTGTAGCATGTTGTGGTTCTGAGACAGTAGAGGCACTGTTCTCTGTCCCACTAGGGGTGCCCTGTGAGGCACAGTGGTGTTGGCACCAGTGCCATCACCCCGCTCTCTCAAGAAGGGAGGTTTGGCTCCATCTCCTCACCATCCATCAGTGTGGAGAAAGGGAGTCCCTCTTTCCGGACATCCTGTCCGATAGCTGCAGGCTAGGTTGCTTCTGAAGCCAGGGCCAAGCCAGCCAGCTTGGTATGTTCCTTGAAGACATAATTTATGGAGTTGCCCTTCTTTTTTTCTCCCCACCCTCCCCGCCAGCCGCCACTGTCAGCAGCTCCTCCCAAAAGCATTTCACCACAGCGGGATCTGGGCAGAATAAGCTCCAGGAATTTCCATTCAAGGATTCTGGGCTCTCTTAAAGATTTAACCATTTCGGATGGGGAGCCAAGGGCAGCATTGGACAGAAACACCAATGGTTCCAATTTCCATCAAAGCCACAGGACGCAGCCATGCTACCAGAAAAACGCACTGGACACAGAAGAGAGTGGGCAAGACACTTGGGTTGTGTAGAGCTGCACCTAACCCCAGTGTTACGTCCTGCAAGGCACAACATTGCCAAGGACAACCTCCCCAGAACTTCTTGCATTGGTACCCCTGGAGTATTGCTGCTCCAACTGACTACATGGGTTACTTGTCTAGCTGGCTGACCTGGTACTTAGAAAATAAAGTGGACTGGAAGCCTGCCTTCAGATGCAGCTAGGATGGTTCTCTGCCCGCCTCCTGCAAGGAGGGCTTCCAGAAACATCTTGAGGAAAGGGTAATAGGCTGCGGGGAGAGAGGCTGCATCCTTTGCAGGGATCTCATCGAAGCGACAGTGATTTATGAGCGCTTTCTCGATTGAGCCTCTAAGCCCATCGCACAGGAAACATCACTTGCGTGATCTGTAATAGTTTTCAAGGCACAAGGGTTAACGCTTTTCCTTCCAGCCGGCGTACATGCTACTCCCCCTCCCACCCCCGTTCCAAAGAAGATATAAATGAGGGGGAAGGAGTCATTTTCCTTATAGAACCTGGCCCTGCTCACTGGGTAAAGGATGGGGCCCCCTCAGCTCCTCTCTCTGGTCCTATTGATCCAAATAGTTCCTTCTCAGCTCACTGAAGGCAACAGCCTGGCAATGCAGATGTCGTTGGGGACCACAATCGGAGATGCGCTACAGAGACCACTAGGTATGACAACCATTTGGGAATTCTTAAGAAGTTCCTACTGAACTGTGCTTCCAGTAAAGGGATCCTGCCATGCTTGGGTTTGGTGGTGGCTCTAGCTGTAGCTGGTGGGCTAGAATGAGCTAAGGTGGCCTCTTGGAATTAAGCAACGTGGGTTCAAATTTCTGCTCTTCTGGAAAATCCCCGGTTGTGGCCTTGAGCACCACGCTCGTGTCTCTGAATATCGCAGTAGCCTGCTGGAGCAAACGGCTGCATCGGCCAACGAGAGTTTTGGGGCATTAGCAAAGCAGTCCTAAATTCAGCATCTCTCACTTTTTGTATGTGATGCCAATAAAAGGTTTGATGACGATGACAATAACAGGAGCTGGAAGGGGCAGCTCATATTCTGTGCCTTTTCAAGAGATTCTGTGGCATGCCTCTTCACGATGTGCCATCCTGAACAGCCCTTCCAGGGCTCCAGAAATATAAATGTCATGAAGGTCATCTGGTGTACCAAACATTGGATGAATGAACATACTAGTTTGGGTGGAAGAGCATGATGGAGCATTGAGAGGGCCTAGCTAAGGCCAGAGCTGTAAGCAAGACCGTGCTTAGAGCAATGTTTAGACCAGGCCCTCCAGGTGTTTTTGGGACTACAACTCCCATCATCCCTGACCACTGGTCCTGTTAGCTAGGGATGATGGGAGTTGTATGCCTGGTTTAGATTCACTCCCAGGAAAGCCAGACAGTGAAGTGTCAAGATTTGGAGGCTAAACCTCCAATTACTACTTAACAATGAGGCTCACCTACAGGTGCTCTCTCTCTCTGACCTCACTAGGTAGTTGTGAGAATAAAATGGTGATGGCAGAAACACACACACACATACCATGTGTGCTGCCCTTGGAAGGACAGGATAAAAATGTACTAAATAATTAGTTATGAGATGCGTTTCAAGGAACTTGTGCCATTATTGAAACATGGCCCCCCTTTCCCAAAAGGCACTACAGTTCTTTTCTCTGAAGTCTCTTCTTGATCCATTGCCAACCAAAGCGGCCGCAGCAGCAACAACAACAACAGGGATGGGGAACTTCCAGATGTGGTCAAACTGCAACTCCCATCATCCCTACACCTGCTGCTATTCTGGCTGATAGGTTCCCCTCTCCTGCTTTACGGCTTAAAGCAAAAGGAGCATTTAGTACTGAGAGGGGAAAGTTCAGTAAAACATTGTTTAGGTTTTGAGTGCACGCAAGCCCTCTGTCTTGATATGCTTGTGGCATGGAAGGGGCTTATTTAAAAACCGGTGTTTGAAAACACAGCAGACATACAGGGTTGAAATGGAATGAGGTCTCCTCACTCCATGCAATTTCCTCTTGCACCCCCTAATTCTATTATGGAGTTCCCGTAACCCTCCAGATCAGATTAAGGGGGCACGAGTGGACTTTGTTTTCTGCATGCAACAACTTGGTTGAGTCCCACCCTCATTGCTTTGGGATGGGACACCCTAGATAAGTGACAGAAATGCCTAGAGAGAGGAAGTAATGTGAGCTTCTCCTGTACTCCTGCCTCCCAAGCTCATTTTGTACATGTTTCTTATTTGGTAAGAAATGGCCAAGTCATTGTTCTATGTGTGCGGCTGATGTATCAGTTATTTACAATTCAAAACATTCTGGGAATAGCCAGATCCACTGCGCATACAGACCTGGACCACTGTAGAAGCTTGCTCACTATTTGTGACCTAGGTCTCTGTACCAGCGCTCTAGCTTTTTGACCGCTATAACTGACATAGCACAGTGCGCAAGGATCAGGTAGGATGGTAACAATCCCTTGGGGATTGAAACGCAGAATTGGCCCCATCATGGAGAACAGACTTCCCCAAACATCTGGAGGGCCACAGGCAGGCAAAGGCTACCAGTGAAGGGTTGGGTATCTGATAGTCCCAAGGGTACTTTCTCTAGGCATCTTATTCCCAGATGGGGCTCAAATGTTGGAAGTGATCCCAGCTTGGGGGTGTGCAGAGGGGGAGGGCTTGAGTGTCAAACTATGGGAGCAGGACGTTTCTTGCTTTAAATTGGATCCGTGGCGAGACTCCTTACAGGGTCCTCGCCATGGGATCACATTCACCCGGTGCTATACCAGCTGCACTGGCTCCCGGTGGAGTACAGGATCAGGTGTAAGGTGCTGGTTTTAACCTTTAGGGGTGCGGGTGGTGCTGTTGGTTAAACCACAGAGCCTAGGACTTGCCGATCAGAAGGGTGGCGGTTCGAATCCCCACGATGGGGTGAGCTCCCATTGCTCGGTCCCTGCTCCTGCCCACCTAGCAGTTCGAAAGCACGTCAAAGTGCAAGTAGATAAATAGGTACCGCTCTGGCGGGGAGGTAAACGGCGTTTCCATGCGCTGCTGCTCTGGTTCGCCAGAAACAGCTTAGTCATGCTGGCCACATGACCTGGAAGCTGTACGCCAGCTCCTTCGGCCAATAAAGCAAGATGAGCACTGCAACCCCAGAGTCGGCCACGACTGGCCCTAATGGTCAGGGGTCCCTTTACCTTTAACCTTTAAAGCCCTATACGGCCTAGGACCCTCGTACCTACGGGACCAACCCTCCTGGTATGTCCCACGGAGGACCTTACGGTCTTCAAACAAAAACATCTTGGAGGTCCCCGGCCACAGAGAGGTTAGGCTGGCCTTAACCAGAGCCAGGGCTTTTTCAGCTGTGGTCCCGATCTGGTGGAATGCTCTGTTACAAGAGACTAGGGCCCTGCAGGACTTGACAACTTTCCGGAGGGCCTGCAAGTTGTCCTGTTCCACCAGGCCTTTGGCCAAGGCACAGTCTGACCCCCTCCTTTGGCAATCCTCACAAAACTCTAGCCCAATGGTTGCCATTAATTTGACTCTGAATTGATTTTAGAATAAACTGATTATAGAATGCTGTGTTAGTTTTATTGTTGTTAGCCGCTCTGAGCCCAGCTTCGGCTGGGGAGGGCGGGATATAAATAAATTTTTTTATTATTATTATTATTATTATTATTATTATTATTATTATTATTATTATTATTATTATTATTATTATCCCCCACCTGCCTTCCCCCATTCTTCCTTTCCTTCTCATTTCAGAAACGCAGACCTCCCAAGGAGCATCCCTGGACACGGCAGGCCACCAGAACAGCCTGCTCAAGTCACTTCCGGGCCCAGCCAGGAGCCGTCCCAAGCGGCGCGCATGGGAGAGGCCCGAGGACCGGGAGTGCCGCCTGCGAAGCCTGCAGGTTCGCGTCAAGAACCTGGGCTTGGGCTACAGCTCCGAGGAGACCATCCTCTTCAAGTACTGCAGCGGCAGCTGCCCCAAGGCCCGCAGCAACCATGACCTGACCCTCTCCGCTCTGCTGCAGAGGAGCGAGATACCGGCCTTGGGGGACCCCTGCTGCCGCCCCACACACTATGAGGATGTGGCGTTCCTGGATGACAGTCACCAGTGGCAGGAGGTGGAGCAGCTTTCGGCCGCTGCCTGCAGCTGTGTGGGCTGATGGTGTTGTTGTTGTTTTTCTTGAGGGGGCGAGGGGAGGGATAAACGAATGCAGACATGGGGCAGCAGCAGAGCTCACAATAGAACAGGCCACCTTGCCCCACCAACGCAGTCCTTGGCTCAGAGATGTGCTTTTAGCCACCAATTAATGTGCAACTAACAAAGACGTCCCAGCAAGGGGTGCCCAGGCCGCCATGCTGCTCCCCAGTTCCAAATACAAAGCCATTCCTCATAATTCACAGCCGAGGGGAGCAGCCCAAAGAGTGCCACACCCATTACTGGTCCCCTGCTCCTCCCTAGGACTTCACTTTACAAACATGCGGTGTTTTGACCGGATCATTTCTGAATTAGGTCCGAGAGGCTGGGGCAGCACTGTGAGGGCTGAGCAAGCGGATATATTTATGGGTTATTTCTAAGTTATTTAATTTATTTCTTCCCCTGAACAGGAGGAAGGCCTAGCAGTTGTGCTAGCCTTTGTCCAAACTGAGCTCCCCGTTACAAAATAATAATGTATATGCTGATTTCTCGTGTTAAGAGGCTTGAGGGTATTAGTCCCAGAACGACTGACTTGTAAATACTGGTGTCTATACAATAAAGAGCAAGCAAGGAAATGACAGTGTCCACAGTTTTGGGGTTACCAGCACACATTGGGAGGACAGGTTGCTTGCTAGCTTCATGGGAGCAAAGACTGGATGGGCAGGGTATAAATAATATATTATTATTATTATTATTATTATTATTATTATTATTATTATTATTATTATTCCCCAGTGGATGACCTGAGCCAAATGATAAAGAGACTGATGCACAGTGACCCAGGCAATGCCAGGTATAGAAAAGCAATGTACTGCAAAAGCAATACCTGATGAATAATAGTTTATTATTATTAGGTCCATGGGCTACTTTTAAAATGAGGCTGCATTTTAAATTGCATTTTAACCTGTATTTTAAACCCCCCCCCCCATTATGTTTTTATTGTAATTTTACTGGTGTTATCCACCCTGAGCCCAGCTCTGGCCGGGGAGGGCGGAGTATAAATAAAATTTATTATTATTATTACTATTTGAGGAACCAAGGAAAATATAAAAATCAGAAAGAGACCCTGGCAACAAGCCTACATTCTAAGGAAAAACATATACAGGGTGTTGTTGTTTTTTTTAAAAAAAGGCAAGTGCTTCTCAACCATTCCAGCTCCACAAGCATCATGAATCTTTTTCTATTTAAAAAGAGGGAGGGAGGGAGGGTAGAAGAGGCAGCGAAGGACAGTAAAGGGTGAAAAGTCAGAGGAGGAAGATGGCCATATGCAGCATACAGATAAAAAGTGGTTCCTTTCTTGCAGGCTGGAGTTCAAGGTGGGTCCAAGGTCTTGAAATGGTGGACAAGCATTTTCCTAAATTCTCCCTCCCTGCACCACCACCAATTGATTCAAGGATTATGTGAGCTACGGATAGGAGTGCTAAGAGTGGAAATTTTGTGAGCACTATAGTCTCCCCCTCTCTCTTTCCACAGCCAATATCAAATCTGCACCTTGTCTTCCATTTTTATGTTTCAATTGCCAGCTATCTTCATGGACTTTCAATGTCACAGGGTTTTTAATTCTACTCTATTTCCACTCTTTGCACACCTCTCCAGTATCCCAATCTAGGAGGACCCAGAATTAGCCTCTGAATTATTTTTAGATCACATGAATACTCAGGCTACTGTTGAGGATCTCATGCAAGGCCCACTTTGAGGGACACACCTCACACAATGGAGAGCAAATCTCAGCTGTGAGAAAAGGCTAAATTTCAGGCGATTTGGGTTTTGAATTGGGGAAAAACAAGAAAAGCTTTGCCATTCTGTTCACACCAGCGAGTTGCCACGGACCAGGTGTGTGATTCTCCTCATAACCTCCACTTTTGTTAGTTAGAGATCCTGTAACCTTCCATTGGACAACACCTGTTCAGCCTCCTTTGCTTGAGTTTGCCATTTTGAAACAGCCTTTGTGACAGCGAATGCAGGCAAAAAACTTGAGAGCAACATATCAAAGAAGAAGCATCAAGATTTTTATTCCCTGAGATGAACAGTACATTCATGAATTATGTTTCGGCCCATTTCTCCAACTCTTTGCAGGGCTTCCCTCTTTCCCATCCGCTAAGAGCAAAACTGCCTTAGATCTTGACCATCCTCAGACTCTCCTTCTGGTGCGCTGAGGAGAAAGCCCATCACTTACTCCTGGCTGCAAAGCTGTGTCCCATGGAGCCAGGAGGGCAGGGCAGAGCAACAATTTCAGAAGCAGGCCCCACTCCCACCAGATAAGCACTTAAGAGATACTCCAAATGGAGTCAGTCAGGTTCTACGGCGGAGTAGATGGCAAGGGGAGGTTTCGGCAGATGACAGAGATCCTCCGCTCACGGGGGATCTTCCTTCCATCGAAAAAGGATTCCTCATCTTTAAGGATCTCGTGAGTGAATTCATAGCGAGCTGGCCCCCTTAAGGCAAAGAAGTAATTACACAAGATGCTAGCGTGTTACCATAACTAATAATAATAAATAATAGTAATAATAATTTACACACACACAGGTATTCTGGGCGACTCCCAACAGAACATTAAAAACCACAATAAAACATCAAACAGTAAAAACTTCCCTAAACAGGGCGGCCTTCAGATGTCTTCTAAAAGTCAGATAGTTGTTTATTTCCTGGACATCTGATGGGAGGGCGTTCCACAAGGCGGGCGCCACCACCGAGAAGGCCCTCTGCCTGGTTACCTGTCGCTTTGCTTCTCGCAGTGAGGGAACCACCAGAAGGCCCTTGGTGCTGGACCTCAATGTCCAGGCTGAATGATAGGTTAGAGACGCTCATTCAGGTATACTGGGCCAAGGCCATTTAGGGCTTTAAAGGTCGGAACCAACATTTTGAATTGTGCTCAGAAACGTACTGGGAGCCAACGTAGGTCTTTCAGGACCAGTGTTATATGGTCTTGGTGGCCATTCTGAGTCACCAGTCTAGCTGCCGCATTCTGGATTAGTTGTAGTTTCCGGGTCACCTTCAAAGATAGCCCCACATAGAGTGCATTGCTGTAGTCCAAGCGGGAGATAATCAGAGCATGCACCACTCTGGCGAGACAGAGTGGAAAGAATTTTGCTCCAGGCAGAAAGAGAGACGCTGTGAACCACCCAGTTGGGTCTCTGTGGCTCAGCTCCAGGACTTGGGTATTTTATATCTGGCTTCACTGGGCAATCCTAAAGACGACCTTCTGTTTTCAGACACTAACTGTAGAGATGAGTCTACACACACACACACACACACACACGAAACACACTAGTCTACATCTCACAGCACTTCATGTATATGAAGAGCTCAGGACCTTCATGAATTCCTGCAAGACATCAGACTAGTTCACACATAATGTGAAGCCACAGTTCCTTGATCCACAAATGAGCCCTGAGCTCATATATTCCCCTCTCACCTCTTTTTGGGGAACAGAAGCTTCTGCTGTTGAACAAAACACAGTGCCTTGTAACATCCAAAAAGCAGGGAACCGTGATTTGCTAGAACCAGTATCTGAGTGGGGTTCATCCCCTTGAATTTATGCATAACAGGGAATGGTGTTGAAATTGTTCTGAAGCACGCCTTGTGGCCATGCAGAGAAGCGGAAGCAGGAACCTCGTGCTCCCCTCAAAGAACGCTTTGCAAAGGGATTTTGACAGGTAAGCAAACAACAAGGGAGGACTCTTGCTTTCATCGCCGTACTGTCTCAGAGGCATCTGTTGGGAGGCAGGATGGTCTCTCTGCCTATAATCTAACCAGGCAATTCTAACATACTAATATTGCTTATTACCTGAGGATGTAGAGAGAACGGCGTTCAAGAAGCAGGTCCAGCCAGTCGTGCACGTTCTGCTCACTGACCAGGCGCATCACGCTTGAGGACAGCAGGGAAAGGCCTGCAATGGTGCAGCCACAGAACTAGCAGACGGTTTTTTTGAAAAAAGGAAGGGGGAAAGAGAACAGTCAGTCCCAATCACAACCAGTCCTTTAACACAACCCAGAAACAAGAGCACCTGCGAGAGGTGGGGCAGGAAGATACATTTACACGGGGAGAAAGGTGCTAACATCTGAACACATTTTCTCAATGCCTGAACCGGGGTTTGATGTTGCCAAGAAGGGGCACCAAACTCAACGGGAACCACGTCTGAATAGACATGCAAACGATTATGCTACAGCCATCAGGTTCCAACACAAATCTTCACAAGAAACAATTCCCCAATTGAAGCAAAATCTATTCTCATGAGAAAGCCAACGCCAGAAGGGAACAGACAAGCTTGGTTCTCACTGACAGGGTAAATCTGTATTTGAACTCTTCCCCTTGAATTCAGTTTGAAGGAATTCATGCGATGAAATCCTCCACCAAACACAGTCCCCATGGCACAGAAAACTAGCATGTCAGGGAGAATGAGAGGCTAGAATCCTTCCCACATGCAGGGAGCTGCTTTGCACGATGGAGCATTCAGACAGACGAGCCTCCAGCTGCGGTCACAGGTACTGCTGCCGTCCAAACACAAGTTTACCTTCTGAATAAGAACCAGGCCTTCAGGCGCTCTTCTTGAAAAAGGCCTTAAAAGTAAAGGGTAAAGGGACCCCTGACCATTAGGTCCAGTCATGACCGACTCTGGGGTTGCGGCGCTCATCAACAAATCCATAAGGACTATTTATGGCCGACCAGATCAAAGTTCCCTCTAGTACCACATCTCTCCCATCCTGGCCAGTCAGGTGGCTCTAGGTAAAGGTAAAGGGACCCCTGACCATTAGGTCCAGTCGTGACCGACTCTGGGGTTGCAGTGCTCATCTTGCTTTACTGGCTGAGGGAGCCGGCGTACAGCTTCCGGGTCATATGGTCAGCATGACTAAGCCGCTTCTGGAGAACCAGAGCAGCGCACGGAAACGCCGTTTACCTTCCTGCCGGAGCAGTACCTATTTATCTACTTGCACTTTGTCATGCTTTCAAACTGCTAGGTTGGCTTTAGGAAGCCCATAAAGGGCACCTAGGGAAGGGGTGGCCAACATGGGGCTACCTTTGAAGGTGACCTGGAAACTGCAATTAATCCAGAATGCGGCAGCTAGACTGGTGACTGGGAGTGGCCACTGGGACTGGTCCTGAGAGATTTGCATTGGCTCCCAGTACATTTACGAGCACAATTCAAAGTGTTGGTGCTGACCTTTAAAGCCCTAAACGGCATTATTCCTGTATACCTGAAGGAGCGTCTCCACCCCCATCGTTCAGCCCGGACACTGAGATCCAGCGCCGAGGGCCTTCTGGCAGTTCCCTCATTGCGAGAAGTGAGGTTACAGGGAACCAGACAGAGGGCCTTCTTGGTAGTGGCACCCACCCCGTGGAATGCCCTCCCTTCAGATGTGAAGGAAATAAGCAGCTATCCTATCTTTAAAAGACATCTGAAGGCAGCCCTGTTCAGGGAAGTTTTTAATATTTAATGCTGTACTGTTTTTAACACTTGATTGGGAGCCGCCCAGAGTGGCTGGGGAAACTCAGCCAGATGGGTGGAGTATAAATAAATTATTATTATTATTATTATTATTATTATTATTAACAACCAGCCAGCACAGATCATAACCAGGAATGAGGCATTATAGCCCGCAGCATGAAGAGGCCACCCCCATTTCCAACCCCTGCTCTGGGGCACAACCCTCCCCAGTTATCAGGATGCTATTCTGCAAAGCTGCAAGGAGAATACCTGGCATGTTTGCCCTACCTTGACACTGTCTATGTGAGGCTTTATGTAGCCAGTTTTATCCAAATCCAGGACGTGAACTTGAGCGAGCTGCGGCACTCCCGGGGGGAAAGCTGTATCCCGGACCCTTTGCAGGATCTCCTGACTCTCCTTGCTCCAATGTGATCTTTCTGTCTCACGGTACCTATGAATAACCTACAGGATGGAGAAGAGATGTCGTGAGATGTTTGGCAGGCCCCCGGTGGTTGAACTGCCCAAGGCCTGGAAAGAGGAAAGCCCACATTTGAAGATTGGGAAAGGTTGTGGAGGAAAGGGGTCAAGTTTACTGCATGTACAATGTTAAAGGAAAATATAATGAAAATGATGTATATAGATGGTACTTGACCCCTGTAAAGTTAGCAAAGATTTATCACAATAGTGATAATCTATGCTGGAAATGTAAAGAAAAGGAGGGTACCCTTTTACCATATGTGGTGGACCTGCCCCAAGGTGAAAGACTTCTGGGAGAAGATTTATAATGAGCTGAAAATAATACTGAAATACACATTTGTTAAGAAACCAGAGGCCTTTCTTCTTGGGATAATAGGTCTGGAATTGCCCCCCAAAAATGTTAGATTGTTTTTGTATGCCAACAACTTCACCTCGAATTCTATTAGCCAAGAATTGGAAAACACAAGAAATACCAACAGTGGAGGAATGGCAGATGAAGGTGATGGACTTTTCGGAGCTAGCCGGCCTGACCGGAAGAATCCGCAACCAAAAGGAGGAGGAGTATCAGGAGGAATGGAGGAAATTCAAAGACTATTTAGTTAAATATGCTAAATAGAAATACTTGCAAAATAATAATTAGGCTAAGGATCTGAATATGTGAAATTCTAAAACAATATGTTTAAAGTTAAGATGAAAAGAGATAAAGATGTTAAGAGGGTTAAGGAAATTTTATGAGATATTGTTTTGCAAAACCGTTACAATGATACATAATGAAATTCAGTCAAGGGAATTTGAGGAAGTCATTTAACTAGGAGATTAATATTGGACCAAGTTCAGTTATGATTTGTGTTTGTTTGTCTAAAAATGTGGAAAACTAATAATTTTTTTGGAAAGAGGAAAGCCCCCGTCTCCCCTCCACTTCGCGCGCCCAAGGTGCCCCGGGGATACCCACCCCGTCCCAGTGCGCGTCCTGGTAGCGGCCTCGGCGCAGCGGCGCCTCCACCTCCCGCGCCAGCAGCGCCTCTTCTTCCTCGCTCAGGAAGCCCGGCACCACCGACGCGCCGCCCGCCACCAGCCTCCGCAGCAGCGCCTCGCTCGACGCCGCCGCCACCTGCCCCGGAGCGCCTTCCCGGCCGTGCAGCGCCCGCTCGGCGCATCGCCGCGCAGCACAGTGCGCCCTCCGTGCGCCCAGGGCGCACCGGCTCTGCATGGCCGACGGCGGGGCAGGGCGAGCTCGCGGTGCATGCCGGGCACGCCGACACCCCTGGCTGCATGCTGACGTTCGCCTTTCACGGATCCCGAGGACGGGAGCCAGGAACCCACGTGTTTGCTTTCTCCGCCCCCTGCCATCCTGTCCCTTTAAGGAATGCACCAATGTTGTGGTGCGTCCCCGCTTTGGAGCTAGTTATCCGATCAAGCTTTCCTTATTGGTGTCGTTCTTCGTTTCATGCTTTCAAAGAAGGAAAATCTCCCAAGCGGTCGACCACACACATTGGGACAGCAAATAAAACAACACGCAACAAAACATTAACTGAAGAAAGCAAGCCAAATGTCAACATACATGCAAAACAACTTTTATTGAGCTGTGTTTCCAAATGGCACCCACCGCAGTCTTGGGTGGCCGCTACAAGGTCCCGTAGGTGAACAGATCTTTGTATTTGTGGTCAGCTTTAGAAGACATCCCTTAGCTTTCTGAAACCTTGTTTAGGGAAGTTTTTAATGTTTGTTTTTTTTTAATCGCATTTAAGACATGCTGTTGGGAGCCGCCCAGAGTGATTGGGGAAACCCAACCAGATGGGCAGGGTATAAATAATAAATTCATTATTGTTATTATTATTATTATTATTACTTGCATAAGCAAGCATGTGCACCTGGGCAGAAATGCTTCGGTTTCTTTTGAATCTTGGAATTGTAGAGCTGGAAAGGTTCACTAGGGTCATCTAGTCCCGCTTGGATTACTGCAATGCGCTCTACGTGGGGCTACCTTTGAAGGTGACCTGGAAACTACAACTAATCCAGAACGCGGCAGCTAGACTGGTGACTGGGAGCGGCCGCAGAGACCACATAACACCGGTCTTGAAAGACCTACATTGGCTCCCAGTACGTTTCCGAGCACAATTCAAAGTGTTGGTGCTGACCTTTAAAGCCCTAAACGGCCTTGGTCCAGTATATCTGAAGGAGCGTCTCCACCCCCATTGTTCTACCCGGACACTGAGGTCCAGCACCGAGGGCCTTCTGGCGGTTCCCTCACTGCGAGAAGCCAAGTTACAGGGAACCAGGCAGAGGGCCTTCTCGGTAGTGGCGCCTTCCCTGTGGAACGCCCTCCCACCAGAAGTCAAAGAGAACAACAACTACCAGGCTTTTAGAAGACATCTGAAGGCAGCCCTGTTTCGGGAAGCTTTTAATGTTTGATGTATTATAGTATTTTAATATTCTTTTGGAAGCCGCCCAGAGTGGCTGGGGAGGCCCAGCCAGATGGGCGGGGTATAAATAATAAATTTATTATTGTTGTTGTTGTTGTTGTTGTTGTTGTTGTCGTCCAACCCCATGCAAGGCAGGACTTGAACCCATGACCCTGAGATTAAGGCTCTCATGTTCTAGGACTGAGCTATCCCTTCGCAACACACAGAGTAGCCCTGAACGCACTGGCTGCAAAAAAAAAATAATAATAATCAGGAAAAGAGAGTTAACTAAAATCGCTTTAAGTTGTTGTGGTGATTTAGAGGTTTAATCTCAAATCAGGCTGGATTTCAGCTTGTTTGTGTCTGGTATCTTTTCTTGCTTACATTAGGTTCTGCATTATTTTATTATAATTCCACTGCTACCAATTTCTCATGAGCTTTGTAAACTTATGGGGAGGAATGTGTGTATGTGGGGTATGTGTCTTTTTGTTTTTCTTGTAAGTCCCTTTGGGTTGCCTTGGGCAAGATGAAGGGGCTAACAAATTTTATTATTATTATTATTATTATTATTATTATTATTATTATTATTATTATTGCCAGTCCTCAGCACAGCAGCTGGTTCCCCCTCCCTTCCAACTACTTTGCATATGTTGTTTACAATGGACAGGATCACACTAGGATTGCGGGCACACACATTAAAGCTGAATTCACACGTTAAATGTGTTTTAATACTCTGGCCAGTAGCTTGCCAACAGTATGCATTACTTTTGCAGTGTACAAGGGGACAGGCGCTTACAATCTTAAAGGAAAGAGAAAAGGAAGAGGAAAACAACAGAAGGGTAAATACAGGATTCCCACCCCCTCCAGCTGTTATTCATACTTTGCTTGGTCACAGTTTTAGTTGCAGCAGGGCTAGGAAATAAAGCCAAAGGCCTAATAAGAAAGGTAGGTCTAGAGGGCTTGAAATAATTGCAAGAGCATCGTGTACACCTAGAATTCCAACACTCGCATCACTGCAAACACTCCCTTCATTTATCCTGGATTAAGGCACTTGGATTTCAGGCCCCACCCACGAATTGCACTATGGCAGAGATAGCTATGGCCTATGTCTGAATATTCTTTTTCCCCTGGCACTTACCGTATCTTTCGCTCCATACGACGCACCTGACTATAAGACGCACCTAGTTTTTAGAGGAGGAAAGGGGGAAAGCCCTGGTTTTTTTGGGATCAGCTCACAGTTGTGCAGCTTCTTTTGCAAAAGGGAAAAGCCCCCTTTTTAAAGGATCAGCTCAAAGTTGTTGAGCTTACTTTGCAAAGGGGAAAAATCCTGTTTTTATGGGGTTCACCTCACAGTTCTGCAGCTTCTTTAGGAAAGGAAAGGGAGCCGTTTCTACAGTTTCCAGACAGTTTCCTTACTTTTTAGGAGGAAAAAAGTGCGTCTTATGGAGTGAAAAATACAGTAAATCCTACCTCTCCTCCATTATGGAACCCAAGGTGCCAACATGTCGCTAACGCTCAGGTGGTCCTGACCAGATCCGCTCAGCTTCAGCAAGTTGGTTAAAGCTGCATTGAGACCAAACACCGGGACCATGAACTGAACTCTCTCATGGTACCTGAGCCAAGTCAGTCAGAGTAATAGCTGCGCCGAGGCCTCTGAAAATCAAGGAAGCATCCCTTTCCAAAAACCCTTCCAAAATTAAGCCAGATACCACACACGGATAAAAACACGTTTTTATTATAAGAAGATAAGAACCCTTGAAGAAACCCCGAATTCTATAGCCACAAAAACAGGAGAAAACTTTTAAAAGAGATGAGGTATAACAGGGTGCTTAACTTGTAAATTCTTAAAAACCTTCCCCACTGGAACGTTCTGGGATACAGATGGGGGAAAATGGACATTAACATTACACCCCTAAGAGCAGATGTATTAACATATAAAATTCAAATGTCCAGTTACCAGCATCAGTTACCAGCAATGATTATATCACTTCTATACTTGCACACAAAACAGTTCAATTGCATCTTTTATTCCCATTAGCAGCTTTTCCTAAGCAGCAGCAATGAATAGAATTCCAAATGAGGGAAAGCCATCTCTTGTAAGTTCTACTGAGGTTAAGGAGTCACGCATTAACATTTCAGCTTCTTATAACTAAGACAGCAAAATATATTGAAATGGAACTTTTTTTAAAAAAACCAAAAACCCACTCAGGTAGCAAGGTTAAGAGCATCCCTAGAGGAAGCTGTCCAGGAAGCGTTCTAAAAGGTCACCCTGAAGCTCATCTTTCACAGACACCTCAGTTTGGCAAGCTGTGTTTTGGCAGCTCCTCTTACTTTGCCAGAGCTGTGGAGGAGAAGCTGGCCTAGAAGGAAGAGACCAAAATAATAAATGAATAAATACACATGTGGTTATTGTATGCCCATTCTTCCTTGTGTGTAGGCTGTTCAAATCCCAAAATTCCCTTCCTATTTATGGACAAGAGGGCATTATTTATTTGTTTATTTTTTTAGCTGGTTTTTATTTAATTTGCCACAAAAAAATCTAACATTGACATTTTGATAATGGCACTCATGCCTTCCATCCCTGTAGACAAACTATAGAAACAGAGGCAAGTGTCCTCTCTGTCATATTCATTCATTCATTCATTCATTCACTCATTCATAAATACACTCCAGTTGCAGTTACTATGTCCAATCCTATCAGCTATTGATATAAGCAACAAACAGGCATGGGTCAACAACACACAGGGTTTCTTTTAGCAATACAGAAAGGCTCAGTTGTTGCATAAGGCAATGCAGGGCTAGGACAGTGTTGGGAAATTCAGTGTGCCTGGAAGGTCATCCCCAAGTCTGGACTGGATCTCCATCAGCCCCCACCCAGCTGCCTGATTAGACCAGGAGCAACGATGGCCTTACCAGTCATCTGGGAGGACCAGCTGTTGCCTGCACATGGTGGGGCTGGTTGGGTTTGAAGCAAGGTGTTTTCTTCTTAAGACCTGCACTGGGCTGCAGCAAGGAGTGATCATGACCTTTGCATAAGGGGTACAGACGGGTTTGTTCCAGGTCCTTTGTTTGAGCAAATGCTCGTCTGTGGTCAAGGGGAAAAAGGGGTTACAAAGCAGAAAGCCACATAAGCAGTTAAGAATGTCAAGACAAGCCCGGAGGGATCAGAACAAAGGTCCATCAAATTTAATACACCATCATCATCATCATCATCATCATCAAGTCCTGCAATCCAGCAGCAGATGGCCAGATGGCACCAAATCAAACTTTGCAATCCTGTGGAGCAGTTTCCCATTTCTGTGGCTTTTAGACAGCAAGACCTATGAGCCTATGCCAGCAACACTCTGTAGCATAACTCTGCAAAATGCAAGACCATTAAGCACTGTGGGGTGAAAAAGTGGGTCACACACTGAACAAACAAACAAACAAACAAACAAACAAACACACAAGACAATAACGCTTTTGGAGACCTCCAAAGACAGAGACAGACAGGATTTCTATGCATTTCTGCCTTTACGTATGTACTACAGAAAACACAGGAATAACCACAGTAGAACACACCTGTCAAGTGTTTTGAAGCTATACTAGAGGTGGAGACAATTACCTTGCACCCCCCTGGCAGCCACTGGGGCAGAGAGCCTTCGGGAAGGATCTCTCACATCGAATCTTGGCCACGAAGACAAGAATCCTTGCTGCAAGAATAGGGCCTTGCGTTGCTCAAACTGCTTCCTCTGCCAAGGAGAAGAAAAAAAGACAGATTATTATCTATTTCCAGAATTCTACCAATCTCTCAGTCATCTTGAGAACACTCAGAACTTCTCCTTCCATGGCCCAAAGCTCAGTGAGATGATCAACTTGTGGTTGAACTATACTGCTTAAGATTCTAGGAGCTCACAATAATCCTCTCTGTCATATTCATTCATTCATTCATTCACACACATTCACACACACACACACACACACACACACACACAACCTCCAAACAAAGAACTAGATGTTCAAGAGAAGGGTCCCAGCCTAGCCTTTTCCCTGACATGCCAGACTATGAGAAGGCAATTTGACTTTATGTTTGTTCCTGGGGAAATAAAAGGTAAAGGTACCTCTGTTAGGTCCAGTCATGGATGACTTTGGGGTTGCGGCGCTCATCTCGCACTATAGGCCGAGGGAGCCGGTGTTTGCCCGCAGACAACCAGAGCAGCACATGGAAATGCCATTTACCTTCCCGCCAGAGCAGTACCTATTTATCTACTTGCACTTTGACGTGCTTTCGAACTGCTAGGTGGGCAGGAGCTGGGACCGAACAACAGGAGCTCACCCCGTTGCGGGGATTCCAACCGCTGACCTTCTGGTCGGCAAGCCCTAGGCTTTGTGTATAAACTTGAGGTTTAAGAAGATGAATCTATCAGGGATGAGGAACCTTTGGGCCCTCCAGATGTTGCTGGACGACAACTCCCATCATCCCTGACCACTAACTGATGGGATTCAGAGCCCAACAACATATAGAAGGCCCACATCTGCCCTACCCTGTTTCATCATTCTCAAGGAGGCATTGCTGCTGCTTGTTAAAAATGTATAAAGGTGGCAACTTGGCTTCAGGTCTTCAGGAAAGTAGCTGCCTACCTCCCACCCCAGCCGAATGGCCGCTTCCGTGAAGTTTTTCCGCTCTACTTCAAATGCTTGTTTCTGCTCCTCAAACCTATTCTGTTCTTCTTGCAGCAACTGCTGTTCCTCCAGAAAATAAGATCCCTTCAGGTGAGCTGGGAGCTCTGAACTGGAGGCAGCGGTCAATTGCTCCTGAAAGGAGGAGACATGTCACTTTGGGTGGGAAAATGAAATGAAGAAACAACGGATTTTTTTCTCTGTCATCCACCATTACGGGGCAACATCTTGTACCCAACCCCATGTTAGCCCTGCTGCCAATGCTACCAATCCAAAATGTCAAGCATAAAGTGCTGGCCTTCTTTCTTATGAGCAGCGAGACAAATAGTTGCTTACAATTGGGGGGGGGGGGGGAACCATTATATGGAACTTGCCGAACTGACCGGGAGACTCCGAGACCAGAGAGAAGAGACGGTGGAAGAAGATTGGAAGGAGTTTAAGGAATATTTGAAAAAATATGTTAATATTTAAATATTGGAATAGCTTTGGAAGTGGATATAGGCTGTAGGGTTAGAAGTAGAAGATAGTGTGTTTTAAAATAGTATTATTTGGAAGTGATAAAATGTAAAGTTATTTTAAGTGTGATTAAAAAAAAAGATGCTTAGAAACTATGATATATGTAAACTGCTAAAGATGAAGTAAAATGAAAATCAGATAGGTGGGACTTGGGGAACCCACTTAACAATGTTTAGAAAAATAAGTATATGACAAGAATTTGTTTGTATTGCTTGTCTTTTCTGTTTGTGTTCTTTATTTGTGTTATAAAATGAATAATTTTTTTTTGGGGGGGGGAAGCAATTGGGGGAAAAACCACCCCTCCCATCACAGAAAGTTGGGCCCAATATGTGTGAAATATAGCATTTATGGAACGCTTAACTCACTTATCAGAGGGTGATAAGAGGAATACCAAAGAAAGATGGGTTTGACTCTCGATTTATATCATTTATTAACAAGAGTAATCTCCCTTCCATGTGGATGACTGAATGCAAGAGTTAACACCTGTACATGTATTTGTCCTGGAAGACAACATGTTTGGTAACTGATTTTTTTTAAAAAATAATTCAGTAAAGTCTGTAAACAAATAAACGAGCCACCTTTTCCGATTACAGAGCTTTCCGCCAAGGGGAGTAGGAACAGAACACGTTTCCATTACAAACTTGCATTGGTTCTGCCCCAGTTTTAACAGCCATGCGTTTCCCAGTAACTGAGTCCTGGAAACCAGTTTGGTGCTGGTAATTCTACGGTCAGAACTATGGTTCTCATTGTTCCTTGCAAGAAGGCAAGACTACCAACCAGTTTGTGGTGCTACAAGATTCAGCCAGTAGAGGGAACTAAAAGGCTGAACTAACAAGGGATGAAACTTCACAAGCACCTGCTGCTGATGGTGTGTGGGGTTCAGCCATATAAAGTCTGCAAACAGCAGCCTGTAAGTACAAGTCATAGACCTTTTCCCACAGCCCAATTACAGCCCAATTACAGTGCACCAACTCACAGAAAGAACCCTGCTCTTCCATCACACTTGCTGCAATTCCATGTGTACTCAGTCGCCTGTCCTGCTGAATTCAATACTTTAGGATGAATTCCAGTTACCTTAGAGTACCTCCAACTTCCTCTTCCAAAAGGAGGTTCCCTCACTTCAGCCCAAGCAAACTCTCCAATGCTCTGTATGCAAATTCTCCCCCTTCCAGTGGACATTTGGCACCTGCTTGCTGGCCTCGGTCCAGTATATCTGAAGGAGCGTCTCCACCCCCATCGTTCTGCCCGGACACTGAGGTCCAGCTCTGAGGGCCTTCTGGCGGTTCCCTCGCTGTGAGAAGCCAAGTTACAGGGAACCAGGCAGAGAGCCTTCTCGGTGGTGGCACCCGCCCTGTGGAACGCCCTCCCACCAGATGTCAAAGAGAAAAACAACTACCAGACTTTTAGAAGACATCTAAAGGCAGCCCTGTTTAGGGAAGCTTTTAATGTTGAATAGACTATTGTATTTTAATATTCTGTTGGGAGCCGCCCAGAGGGGCTGGGAAAACCCAGCCAGATGGGCAGGGTATAAATCAATTACTATATTATAATATTATTATTATTATTATTGATCTTAGTTTGTGCAGCCAGAGCATCTGGGCAGGATAACTGGAGATGTGATGCCAGCTACATGCACACTCAACCCCTGCCCATCCTGACTATTGAGAGTGTCAATTTCAGAAGGTTTTGCTGGCCATGATCATTGGCTGCTGTCCACAAGTTGTGCAATATCTATATGAAACTGCAAAGAAGCACCCAGGAGTTTGGAGTTCAGTATGTTGTTGACACCACACTCTATTTTTTATTTCCACTTCATGAAAAAGCTGCATAGAGGTTCTGAACTGAGCCCTAGAGGCAGTAGACTTCTTGTGGGCAATATGAAGCTTAATCCAGACAGGACAGAGGTGTTCCTGGTTGGCAGAGCTGACTCAGAAGTGTGTAACTGATTTTTGATGGGGTAGCTTTCCTCTTGAAAACAGGTGTTCCCATTTGGGGGTTCTTCTGGACTTTGCTATCACCTTAGATGCTTATGTATCAGCACCAATTAAGCCCATTCCTTGAAGCTGCACATTTGGCTAGGGTGACATGCACTTAAATTGCACCCCATCTGGATTCCTGCAACAGGGCTGCCTTTGAGGAGAGTCCTTGGAAATTTCAACTGATTCAGAATATCGCAGCCAGGCTGTTTATAGGAAACGTGCCTTCTTTAATTCAAATACCTACGCTTGCAACATATGAACACAGTAGGGGACCCCTGACCATTAGGTCCAGCCGTGGCCGACTCTGGGGTTGCGGCGCTCATCTCGCTTTATTGGCCGAGGGAGCCAGTGTACAGCTTCCAGGTCATGTGGCCAGCATGACTAAGCCGCTTCTGGCGAACCAGAGCAGCGCACAGAAACGCCGTTTACCTTCCCACCAGAGCGGTACCTATTTATCTACTTGCACTTTGACGTGCTACAGGCTTCCCATTTGTTTCCAGGCACAGTTCAAAGTGCTGGGATTGACTTTATGTCTTGGGGCCAGGATAACGGAAGGACTGCCTTCTCCAGCATGAACTTTCTTCCTACTGAGACCCACCTGCATGTCCCAAAGCCCCCAGAAATATGCCTATTTAGGAATAGGAAGAGGGTGCTCTCGGGAATGTGTCAGCAGCGAGTTGAAGGCTCTGGCACAGCTTTAAACTGTAGTCATTGGCACGTCATCTATCAATCCACTGGGCACCGCTCCTGGTTCTTCTCAGTGCAACAAGCGTATTTTTGCACGGTGCACACTTGTAGTTCACAAGAGCCTCATGGCTTGCAGCAATAACAAATACTACACTGGGACATTTATGTGTGTATTCTGCTCAAATGCACAAGGAATCCAGTTATTATTGGAGAGCCTAAGTTTTCAAGTTTCTAGACCTTATGGGGGGTTTTTGGAAGAGCTTTAAAACTCTGTGAGAAATGCCTAGAGTTACTGGATAGAGCTTCAGGTGGAGTGGGCTTGCTTTAATGCCCATAGCTGACCCAGGCTCCCCACCATGCAGGGCAGGTGCTGAGTACAAACAGCCCTACCTATGGCTGCCTAAAGCAGGGACAGGCAACCTAAGGCCCAGGGGCTGGATGCGGCCCAATCGCCTTCTCAATCCGGCCTGGAGACGGTCCAGGAATCAGCCTGTTTTTACACGAGTAGAATGTGTTCTTTTATTTAAAATGCATCTCTGGGTTATTTGTGGGGCCTGCCTGGTGTTTTTACATGAGTAGAATGTGTGCTTTTATTTAAAATGCATCTCTGGGTTATTTGTGGGGCATAGGAATTCGTTCATTTTTTTCTTTTCCAAAATATAGTCCGGCCCCCACAAGGTCTGAGGACAGTGGACCGGCCCCCTGCTGAAAAAGGTTGCTGACCCTTGGACCTAAAATCTGATGTGCCACCTGCAGAGGGCAGACAGGAATGCCTGGAGAATGGCCAGAATTGACCAAATCTTTCCTTTACCTGGAAACATTGTTGCTGCAATGCAATCAGCACTCTGCTCTCCTCAATTTCTCCCTTTAGCTTCATGATTTCCTTCTCATGATCCGTCACGCTGATTACAGGGTCTTGCCCACCTCCCTCAGATACGCAGGAATCAGCAGCATAGACAGCTGTGGAGGGAAAGGGAAAGCAGGAATGTGTCTTTATGGAGCCCAACATTTCAGCACTAGGAGGCTCAGAGAAGGAAGCTACAAGAGAGCCACAGATTTTGGAACATTCGAACTCAGGACTTCCAACGCATCAGCTTGCCTGGTTGGTCCAAAAATGAAAAAAATTATTTCAAGCTTCAAGCTGCACTTAAAAAGATTCCAGGATCAGTATGGTTTGGTGAAGAGAGTTGAAAAGCTAGACTCCACTGCAAGATGGGAATAAACTGATCTACCTCACAGGGTTGTTGTAAAGTTCTTAAAGTACCTTGCGTATTTTTAAAGCTGAAAACCGGATCAGTTCGTTATTGTATGCAATATTTTAAAAGATAACAGTGTACATACAAACACACCCTTCCAGGTGGTGTAAGTGTCTTAAGGCAATCTGATAGGTCAGAGCAGCTTCACCTGTTGCGTTCCTAACATACCATGCCTTTGCTTTATAAACATCACTGCTAAGGAAGGCTGCATTCTAGTGGTAACAATGCACCAAGTTTTGATATAAGCAAGTGTCCTTGTTGCCAGTAAACTTTCGTGAGCAAAAAGGCATTATAGGAGGATTATGGCTCTTGTTTGCTTTCGAATTAGCTCCAGCCAGAATCAAAGCTGAACAAAACACTGCAAAAAATGTCAGCCAGACCACCTTTGTTGGTTCTTTTTGAGCTGATGACGATTTCTGGCTTTTCAATTCAGGCAAAAGGGGGCTTGCCCTTACAACAAGAGAACAAGGCCAAGTAACCAAGCTTTCGTTCTGCTATGCATGCAAGGTTCCATGCTGTGTTTTACTGCTGCTAAGGTCTTGCACACGTCATCCCTGATTTGAACGCTAAGAACCAACATAAGCCAACATCGGAACTGGGTGAGACATGCAATCAAATGTTGTAGTGTGGAATTCAGCCAGCTTCTCTCCCCACACCCATTATGGAAGCAAAAAAGACCTTGCCCTGTGTAATCCCAGCATTTGACATACAGAGAAGTTGATGTATGCAGAGGAACCATTACAGCTGCTATCCTCCAGGAATGTGCGCAACCCTTTTGGAATCTCATCCGATCTAAATTTGTGACCAGTGCCAATTTAATTATAAGCTAAACAAGCTTAGGGCCCCACTCTCTTGGGGGCCCCAAAAAATTCAAAGGAAAAAAACCTGGATATACATTTCCAAAACATAAGGTAAGTTCAACAATTACTTTGATAAAATACATGTTTTGTTATGTGCAAATGGCTTTAGATACCTATTGGGACCATAAATGAGCATATAGCATACATTCAACACAAAAAACAGTGCCAAAGGCCAGTTGGACATATGAAGGGCCCCATTACCTTCAGTAGCTTAGGGCCTCATCAAACCTAAATCCGGCTCTCTTTGCGACCATCACCGGTGCCTCTTTTCCCAGGGAATTTCCAGGGTAAGAATAATGTGATAAGGGAGCCAAAAATCAGAGGAAAGAACTTGCAGCTTCCAAAACCATACCTTGACTCCCAAGGGTCTTGAGGCTGCTCTTCAGCCTGCTCCACTGCTCCTGGAAGGCCTTGTATGGGCAGCTTAGCTCTGCATCCTGGAGAAGAGAAAACAGCAGCTGAGCACCAGAGAAGTCAGAGGACTGTGGATCGCCCTCCCATCAATGTCAAGGAGATAAGTAGATATACAACCTTCAAAAGACATCTGAAGGCAGCCCTATATACGGTAACGTTCTGATACATTTTTGTCTTATGTTGGAAGCCACCCAGATTGGCTGGGTCAATCCAAACAGATAAAAAGGTAAAGGTAAAGGAACCCCTGACCATTAGGTCCAGTCGTGACCGACTCTGGAGTTGCGGCGCTCATCTCGCTTTATTGGCCATGACAGCTTCTGGGTCAAGTGGCCAGCATGACTAAGCCGTTTCTGGCGCATGGAAACGCCATTTACCTTCCCACCGGAATAGGTAAACCTATTTATTTACTTGCACTTTGACATGCTTTCGAACTGCTAGGTTGGCAGGAGCAGGGACTGAGCAATGGGAGCTCACCCCGTCACGGGGATTCAAACTGCCGACTTTCTGATCGACAAACCCTAGGCTCTGTGGTTTAACCCACAGTGCCACCCGCGTCCCTCCAAACAGATAGGCGGGGTACAAATAATAAAATTATTAAGTGGCAGTGGCAGCTGCCGCCAGCCAGGAGCCCCACAAAACTCTTACCCGGGCAGTGTCAGTCCCCAAAAGCTGCTCCATATCTTGGCCCACTTGGCTCAGCAGCTGCTTCAGCTGGGCATTCTCCAAAGCCAGGCCCTGCTCCCGCCGTTCCTGCTTGGCTAGCTGGGTGCGGTAGAGCTCTTCCTCCTTCCTGCCAGAAAGGAGAATCAGGAAATAAAGGAAGATGGATACTGCCTTCCAAAGCCTAAACCAGGCCCAGGACTACCACCCCCTGTGATCTTCAACAGCTATCCACCGTTAGGATTCTTTTCCCGTGCTGCAGTCATGGGATTGTTTTTTATCACATGGTGGTGTATGTTTTCATTCCACATTGTGGGAAGACACGGAGACAGGATGTTTGTATTACTGTGTTTCCGTGATGTAGGACGTTTGTCCTTTGTTCTCTCTCTTTGCTATCTGATGCTGAAGAGGAAGGAGCTACGATGCTCTGAGTGTGTATTTGTAAATAAACGTAGTTTAGCCAAATGCTGCGCTACTGAGTCTGTATGCTGACTGCCTATACAGTGGTACCTCAGGTTACATACACTTCAGGTTACAGATGCTTCAGGTTACAGACTCCGCTAACCCAGAAATAGTACCTCGGGTTAATAACTTTGCTTCAGGATGAGAACAGAAGTTGTGTTCTGGCGGCGTGGCAGCAGCCGCATTAGCTAAAGTGGTGCTTCAGGTTAAGAACAGTTTCAGGTTAAGAACGGACCTCTGGAACGAATTAAGTACTTAACCTGAGGTACCACTGTACTCTGCTGATCCTGAAGTGTGCCGATGCCTCTAAGATATCAGTCGCTGTGATTTTCGGGCTGGAGAAAGATTTTGAATCTCCCGAACAAATGACCTGGAGGGAGAGAACATGCCAGTCGGGCATGTGTCTTTGCCAGACTCCTACTCGTGTGTAGGACTTCTTGACATCCACCACCTCCTGATAGCCCATCCTTGGATTTAAGAATTCACCTGGCAGCCAGGAATTCCATGCAGGCTGGGAGGGTGGGTGGGTGAGGAAGGAAAGTTTCTTCTTCCACGACCCACACAAAAAATGCCATGTGGAGCAGCCATACTTAGCCTGCATGACCTCCAGATGTTGCTGAACTGAAGCTCCCATCATTACTGACCATGAGCCCCGGTAGCTGTGGTTGATGGGAGTTGATGGGAGCAATAGCTAGAGGGCCATAGGTTCCCCATCCCTGATGTAGAAGGGCCTGGGGTTCCATACCCAGAAGCTATAGGCAGTGATGGGATAGGGAAAATCTCCTGTCTGAAACCCTATAGAGTCACCAGCAGTCCATGCAGACAGAACTGAGCTAGCTGGACCAAAGGCTGCCTTGGTAGATAATTAAATAACTATGTTCCTATCAGCTAGATCAGCTACCTTTAATCTTTCCAGACCCATTACCCACTTTTAACCCAAACATGCATTCGGGGACCCATTTCTTAATATTTTACCATACGTTTGCACGGTGGTAGTGCTTCTGTTGAAATGTCGTCCAGCCTGGACACTGAGGTCCACCTCTGAGGGCCTTCTGGTGGTTCCCTCACTGTGAGAAGTGAAGTGACAGGGAACCAGGCACAGGGCCTTCTCGGTAATGGCAGCCACCCTGTGGAATGCCCTCCTGTCAGGTGTCAAGGAGATTTTAAAAAACTATTTGACTTTTAGAAGACATCTGAAGGCAGCCTTTTTTGGGGAAGTTTTTAAAGGTCAATGCTTCATTGTGTTTTTAATATTTTGTTGGGTGCTGCCCAGAGTGGCTGGGGCAACCCAGTCAGATGGGTGACATATAAATATTGCATAAGGCTGTGACCCACTAGCAAGTCCCAACACACCAGTGGAAAATCGGTGTGCTAGATTAGTCAGTCCATTTCTGTGTGCAGCTAGTTCTTTCACACGCTTCTTAAAGCCCCTGGGTCCTTAACAGACAGGTCCCTGTGACTCACCTGCCAAGCGTTTTCCCAGTTTTCCACGTTGCTCTCTTACCATCAACCCGGGGCAGGGTGTTGAGGACTTCAATTGCTAGAGACAGCAAGACTAGCCTGAGTAGGAGATCAATATTACACCATCTCTTTCCTTGCCCCCAACCCCAGGACAGAACTTCCCTTCCCCAGACCCCACAGCCAGGTTCTTGGAGCCGAATCCAAATTGTGCTGGAGCAAGCAGCATACGGAGTCCTGCATTGCAGGGGGCGGGTCTAGATGACCCTTGGGGTCCTTTCCAGCTCTATGATTCTATGATTCTATATGCTAACTTCTCCACTTTCCATTATCCAAGTTGTAAATGGAATTTTTCAACACACCCAGATGAAGTTCTCTTGCCTCGAACTTCCACACTCCTCCACCTTGCTCCCTTGCCCACTTACTTCCTCTCTTGTCTTTCTTGTCAGTCACCAGCTGGCTCATCTTCTCCCTGAGTCGGAGTAACTCTTGCTCCTTTCTTTTCATTTCGTGGCTGTGCTGGCTCTTCTGGTTGGCCAGCGCATTCAGGAGCTTGGCGATCTTTTCAGACAAATGCGGACTGCTATCAGCTAGCGACCCACCACAACTCCCTTCGTCTGACCCCGTTGAAAGTTCTGTGTTCTTAAGAAGTGTACACAGGAAGCATTCCCTAGACTTTCCCCTCCAATATATCACAGCTGGGCAACTTGTATTGCCTTTTATTCTATTCGCTCTCACATACATGCCTGTAAAGGAGTTGCTAAACTGGCCACAGCAGCAGCCTGCTTAGCGGGGTAGCGCTGGCACTGATTTTTAAATGTGTGCTTTAACATCATCAGCCACAAACGCATTGGGTGGAAAGAAGAGGTGGCCATAAATGGGGTTGAATGTATCACTGAAGACTGTTGGTGACAGGAGAAAGACTGGACTATTATTATTATTATTATTATTGTTATTATTGTTATTATTATTATTATTATTTTGTCTTCTTCTTCTTAATTGAATTTATATACCGTCCTATACCCAGGGGTCTCAGGGCAGTTCACAGAATAAAATCAAGATATAGAACCACAAAATATGTGATAAAAATAAAAACAACCACCTCAATAGCCCCCCCCCAAAAAAACACATTTTAAAAGGGCATAGGATGTAAACCAGACCAACCAAGGGCCTGGTTAAAAAGGAACGTTTTTGCCTGGCGCTTAAAGGTGTATAATGAAGGTGCCAGGCGAACTTCCCTGGGGAGAGCATTTCACAGACGTGGAGCCACTGCAGAGAAGGCCCCTTTCTCGTGTTGCCACCTTCTGGACCTCTCAAGGAGGAGGCACACAAAGGAAGGCCTCAGAGGATGATCTCAGGGTCCATGGAAAGAGGCGGTCCTTGAGGTATTGGGGTCCTGAGCAATTTTGCGGCTTTGGAGAACCTTGGGACGGCTACACCCATTTTTGACCAACAGAGGAGCCTCAACTGGGGTTTATTATGTCCAAATTGCATTACAGTGGTGCCTCGCAAGACGAAAAGAATCCGTTCCGCGATTCTCTTCGTCTAGCGGTTTTTTCGTCTTGCGAAGCAACCCCATTAGCGGCTAAGTGGATTAGCGCTATTAGCGATTTAGCGGCTTAGCGGCTATTAAAGGCTTAGCGGCTAAGCTGTTAAAAGGCTATTAACGGCTTAGCGGCTTTGAAAAAAGGGGGGAAAGCGGGGGGGGGGGAAATGGCGAGACTCGCAAGACGTTTTCGTCTTGCGAAGCAAGCCCATAGGGAAATTCGTCTTGCGAAGCGCCTCCGAAACGGAAAACCCTTTCGTCTAGCAGGTTTCTCATCTTGCGAGGCATTCGTCTTGCGGGGCACCACTGTATTGTGATGCTCTTTGAAGCTGGTCTCCTCTGTTCCCACCATACGTCTCTTTTCCTGCTGCCAATTAATGAGAAGTGTTGCCAATTGGATTTTCCATCTCCAGCATTAGAAAGCCAAGGTTCAGCCGTTTCCCCCCTCATTCCACTTACTTCATCCTTTTCTCCTTTCAGCATGCTATTCAGTTGCTTGTTCTTGCTTTGAAGTTGCTGCTCCTTGCTCTGCACAGCTGCAATTTCCTGTTCACAAGCTTCCACCTGGTCCTGAAGTTTTTTGGGGGCAGGGTGGGGATAAGCAGGAGGTGTAAAGAATTAGGGCAAGAAAGACCGCGTCTCTCTCCCTGCACATCCCACCCCCAAAAGAAAAGCACCCCACTAATTATATTGCTGCACAGGGCAGGTGGATGGCGCATGGGTTAATAAGTCTATAGGGAAGCAAGCAAATATCTGTATAGGCCCAGTTCACACATAATGCTAAACCAAACCATGGCTTGCAGCAAATGAGCAGATTGTTTGATGTATTGCGGTTGTTTGATGCATTACGGTATTTTAATATTTTATTGGAAGCAACCCAGAGTGGCTGGGAAAGCCCAGCCAGATGGGTGGGGTATAAATAATACATTATTATTATTATTATTATTATTATTATTATTATTGGGACGCGGGTGGCGCTGTGGGTTAAACCACAGAGCCTAGGACTTGCCAATCAGAAGGTATCACTGCAGCATGCTAGGCCTCTCCTTGTCCTGGCACCCTCCCCTTGAGAACCCCTAAAGATCAAGGAGAATAGATGATCATACAACAGTTAACCCTGTATGATCTTTTTGCTGCTGCTTAGAGTAAACAGAGTTTAATTTATAACAGAGACAGTATGTTATTGCACTGCCCAATCCAGATAGTTGCTGTTCCAGTAAACTATTTAAGAGTTTCATACTGTACAGAAACTGTCCTTGAACGGGGACACTTTGATACAGCTTCTTCTGCCTCACCCATTTCTTAGTTGCCATTACACAGAAAAGTATTTTGAACTATTCATTATTCAGTGGAAGTTTTTTCCCCTTATCAATTGTGATTTTAATTATTTTTTTGCTGCGCTCACAAAATTTCCTGTAAGATCATGATTAGTCCACAGAAAACCCAGAAGTTAAAAGGCACTAATTATATTAGGTAACAATTGAACATTCTGAAGTGCTATCTCAGTAATTCTTACAGCAAACCTGAAAGGTACGACAATATTATCCCGCACTGCGAATCAGAAAGGTTGCTGACCCCTGATCTACCCCAAGACACCCAAATGCAGAGAATGGACATGAACAAGCTGAGATGCACTTATGGGATGAACAGAGTAAAAACCCAGGAGCTCTGACCTTGAGTTTACCATGTCGCGACCTCAGATAGTCCAGTTCTCCAGCTCGTCGCCTTTCCTCTGCCTCCAGGTCACCCAGCTTGGCAGAGACACCTTGGTAGAGATTCAGCAGTCTGCAAGTACTGTTAACTAACGCCAGGAGGTCAAAGCCATGCTCAGCACCATCTCCAGAACCATCATCCTTATATAGCGCAGGGAGCCCCAGCATCACCAGTTCCTAGGTAGAGAAGGTAATTAAGGAGAGAAGAGTCACTAAAGGAGTCCAATGACTGTTTAGCTACAACTGCTTTTCTCCAGATTCTGTCCACCTTACCATTAGGTACTCAGTTTCTCTCCCGGCTCATTGCTTAACTTGCTTTCACCATCTTCTTAACCAGTCCTTACACAGGTGCCTACCAGCACACCAGAAGTCTACCCTTCTGTGATCCCTTTGCAGGAGACAGATAGCCCCAAATTTATCATACAGCTCAGCTTCAATAGAAATTTTGACGCATCGTCAAAACTACCCTGCAACACTTATCTAAATCATGTAAGTGTTGGACATGTGAAAAAGAAAGAAGGTTCTTTTTATGTAGTGGTCTTGTAGTTAAGGTTAAAGCTTACCGGGAAATTATATACAGTGGTGCCTCGCAAGACGAAATTAATTCGTTCCGCGAGTTTTGTCGTCTTGCGATTTTTTTCGTCTTGCGAAGCACTGTGTCGGGAAAGTTTTGGAAAAGCTTCAAAAATCACCAAAGTTTTTAAAAACCCCAAAAAAGGCTACCACACCGCGTTCTATGAGTTGCTCCTCGAAGTCAAGTCGCAACTGTATTAACGGTGTTAAGAAAAAGGAAACAAACTTGCAAGACGTTTCCGTCTTGCAAAGCAAGCCCATAGGGAAAATCGTCTTGCGAAGCAGCTCAAAAAACAAAAAACCCTTTCGTCTAGCGAGTTTTTTGTCTTGCGAGGCATTCGTCTTGCGAGGTACCACTGTACCGCGGATTGAAAAGGATGTTCAAAATAACCTTTGTAAAAAAACAAACCCAGAAGTTTTTCTTTTGGGAATTATAGAGACAGAACTACCTAAAATGTATAGAAACTGATTCATGTATGCTGCTACAGTGGCAAGAATTTTACTTGTCCCAAAATAGCAAGAAGCAGAAGTCCCAGCAAAGGAAGAATGGATACAAAAACTTATGGAATATGCAGAAATGGCAAAACTTATTGGAAGAAAAAGAAATCAAGATAACATATATTTTTTGGGGGGGAGGAAATGGTAATGGTTTATTACATTAATTATAAACAGATAAAAACATTGGCAGGATTGTTGTAATAACCTGCAGTTTCATATGAGTATATATTTAAAGAAGATGGATAAATGAGCAAATTAAGTTAATCCGGATATGCAGAAGTTATTAAAAACAAATTTGAGGGAACCGCAGAAAGAGGGGGAAGGAAGTCAAGTTTTCAAATGTCAAAAGGATTGTAAAAATAGTGAAATTTATAAAGTTTATGAAATGTATAAGCTTGAAAAGTACAAAATACATAAAATGCAAACAAAAAACAAAGACCCCCAACTACCCTGCAATTTGCACAGGAGCAGGGAAAACCTCTCAGTTGCTACACCTGCAGCTTGACATTACCAAACTAGACAGCAGCAGACAGCTGGAAAAGTAGATTCCTTCCCTGCAAAAGGCTCAGTCCTGACTCGCACACAGTGACCTTCCTGCCCAAGGCCATTGCTCACCTTGTTAAGGTAGGAAATACAATGATCGACATTGTCACTCCAGCAGACGACATCGCCCAGGCCACCAAGGCCTCCCAGAAGCTCCCCAGAGTCAGGGTAACAGGCTGGGTTGCACCCATCAGCTGAAAAGAGGCCCATCTCCGAAGCATAGCTGGAAACGAAGAACTGTGTGTCTGTGAGGAAGAGGACAAAGTAATAACACAGGAAGATCCAGCGGGAAGACATAGGCAGACGGTGGAAGAGGGACCAAAGGATGCCTGAGCTGTAGGTGGGTTGCACACTAGCGTGATGGACCTCTGCGAATCCAAAGGACAGAGGAAGGTCTCTAGTGGCTTAAGTGCAGGAGTGAATGCTAAGCTGGCGTTTTCATGCATGCATCTGCACCCGTGTTAGAAACTGAGATATGGAAGCCAGGAGCTAAATAGCACCTTAAGACGAGGTTATGGGTGCAACAATGGAATGTCTAGGCATGCTTTTTTATAACAAGAATACAAAGCTGAAAATGAATGAACTGCAGCTAAAATATTATTTTCATTTTCCACATGGTCTAGTCCTTCCCCTGTGCACCCCCCATATATTCTTAAGAGGGTCTCTTCTCAAGTCTTCAGAGAGTAACTGGAAGTGGGGAGGCAGAAAAACATCCTCCTTTCCTTCCACTCTGCAGTTTTAATCTGAAATCTTAGGCGCAGTACTGTGCCCAGAGCTCAGAAACTGCTTGCATTAATGAAATTCCCTGTCGCAAAATGCGCATAGAACAATGGGAGTTTTGAACACACACACACACACACACACACACACACACACACAGTTTCTTTACCCATATATTTGTGCACTCAGTAACATACAGTGGTGCCTCGCAAGACGAAAATAATCCGTTCCGCGAGTCTCTTCGTCTAGCGGTTTTTTCGTCTTGCGAAGCAACCCTATTAGCGGCTTAGCGCTATTAGCGGCTTAGCGGCTATTAAAGGCTTAGCGGCTTAGCGGCTAAAAGGCTATTAGCGGCTTAGCGGCTTAGAAAAAGGGGGGGAGCGGGGGGAAATCGCAAGACTCGCAAGACGTTTTCGTCTTGCGAAGCAAGCCCATAAGGGAAAATCGTCTTGCGAAGCAACTCAAAAACGGAAAACCCTTTCGTCTAGCGGGTTTTTCGTCTTGCGAGGCATTCGTCCTGCGGGGCACCACTGTACTGGTATAATGACAGGCTTGAATGTGAACCAGCCACTTAAAGACAGCCGTTTCAGTGGCACCAGTTGTATACTTGAATACACAGCCATATAGAGAAAACAAGTGCAGCTTTTTTGTGGGAACTGACTGTAGGGTACAAGGCTGCAGAGATAAAGCCCCAGAGGTCCAGTAGTCAGGAGCCCTGCTCCACAAGGAGGAATCAGTCCAGGAGGAAACAGTCCTAGAAAAGCAGAGTAGTTCTCCCGCCAGCTATAGCACAGGCCATTTGGTGCCTCACTTTGTGTAATCACATTTGTGTAATCTCACTGTTGGGACGCGGGTGGCGCTGTGGGTTAAAGCCTCAGCGCCTAGGGCTTGCCGATCGAAAGGTCGGCGGTTCGAATCCCCGCGGCGGGGTGCGCTCCCGTTGCTTGGTCCCAGCGCCTGCCAACCTAGCAGTTCGAAAGCACCCCCGGGTGCAAGTAGATAAATAGGGACCGCTTACCAGTGGGAAGGTAAACGACGTTTCCGTGTGCTGCGCTGGCTCGCCAGATGCAGCTTTGTCATGCTGGCCACGTGACCCGGAAGTGTCTCCGGACAGCGCTGGCTCCCGGCCTCTTGAGTGAGATGGGCGCACAACCCTAGAGTCTGTCAAGACTGGCCCGTACGGGCAGGGGTACCTTTACCTTTACATTTTAATCTCACTGTATACAAGTTGTACAAGTAACAATAAAGTATTTCAATTTCACTTAGTCAACAGGGAAGAATGTGCTGACAACCTTGGAGCAAGCCAGCACAAGAGCCAGTGCGTGGGGTTGCGACTACGGCCAGGGAAACCCAGGTTACACCCCTGCCATGCAGCAGACCTTGCAATTGTCACTCTCTCTCTGAGCCTAACCAACCTCACAGGGTTGCTGTGAGGATAAAAATGTCTCTCTGTGGATATAGTAATGTACACTGCTTCCTTAAGCCCCTTGGAGGAAGGGTGGGATAGAAATGTAAGAAATCAATCAAATGAGAAATGCTGGAAAAGTTAGAAACTCTGGCAAGCATTTCTAGCTAAGTTGCCTTACCAAATGGTAACTGCACAGTTACCTGTGAATAGTTGATCCCCTGGAGTATCTGGGGCAGCTGAGGCTTCCATTTTCTACCAGGGGTTCACTAGAAATCTAGAAAGAAACGAAGAGTTATTATTATTATTTTAGACACTCCTACAAGGTCCACAATGCAGCAGTGACACGGGAATCTGAGCTTGTCTGCACCCAGCTATTCAACATGCACCTGGCTCTCTTGCAAGAACTCACACATTAATTCTATTTTAATAATCACTACCAGTGCCTGCCAACCTAGCAGTTCGAAAGCACCTCCGGGTGAAAGTAGACAAATAGGGACCGCTTACTAGCGGCAAGGTAAACGGCGTTTCCGTGTGCGGCTCTGGCTCGCCAGAGCAGTGATGTCACGCTGGCCACGTGACCCGGAAGTGTCTCCGGACAGCGCTGGCCCCCGGCCTCTTAAGTGAGATGGGCGCACAACCCCAGAGTCTGTCAAGACTGGCCCGTACGGGCAGGGGTACCTTTACCTTTTTACCATTTACTAGCAGATACAGATTCATTTTTTTAACTTTGATCCTGTACTGAATTTACTTGCCAGGTGGCTGACTGAGAAAACTGAATGTCCCTCTAGGTCAGTGTTTCCCAACCTTTTTTGGGCAAAGGCACACTTGTTTGATGAAAAAAATCTCGAGGCACACCACCATTACAGCCCCGTGACGTCAGCGCGCAGCATCACGCCAGGAGGGACGCACGAAAGTGTAACTTTCAATTTTTTTCCCTCCCCCTTGCCGGGGAACCTCCAAGCTTTGGGGGGGGGAGGAGGCAGCAAAGCGAGGGACTGAGGGACTCCTCCAACGACAAGGGTTGGGGAAGAAGAGAAAGGGCTATTCCGCTCCAGTCACGGGAGGGGAATATGTACTGGCCCAACTGGTGTGCGGTCTTCGGAAAGCGGGGTGCGGGAAGGAAGCCTAGGCTCGGGGTCCACCGACCTCGGCGGAGAAAGGCAACAACCGGAGCTGATGACGAGCCGGCGCGTGCGTGCAGCGGCTGGCCTCAAGCTCGGGAAGCTGCGCGCGGCGATGTTGACGCGGGGCGCGCGAGAGCTTGGGGGCGGGGCGGGAGAGAGAGAGAAAGAGTTGGCAGCACCAGGCGCTGTTACTTATTGCGCTGCGGCCGCTGCCAGCAACTGCGGTGGTTGTGCGGCAGCGGCCGCCGCAGAACGTCCTCGTCAGTCAGCTGAGCTGCCTGGCGGCGTAGGGAGCCGAGGGGCGGGGCTTCCTTTCTGAAGGAGCTGAGGGTGGGGGTCCTCCGGCGCCTTCGGCGAAACGGCGCCGGCCCAGAGCGCTTCTAGGAGGCTGCCTTTGTGCGCGATGTAAAGCCCTCTTTCCCTCCCTCCAGCCCCGTGTCACATGTGGAAAAGGGGGCTGGATCCAGTGACACAACTCGGAAAACTGTTAGGGAAGCCAGAGCAGGAAAGTGAGTGGGAGGCGGCGTCGCCGCTTTAACCCACGTTTCCTTTTTGAAAGAGAAACCAGTGTTTCCCAACCTTTTTTGGACTCGCTCGCGGCACACCAGGCAACATCTCGCGGCACACTAGTGTGCCGCGGAACACCGGTTGGGAAACACTGCTCTAGGTAACAGGGCCTCACGTTGCTTATGCACTGAATTTCTGGAGAGCTTTTGAATTTAGGTAAAAAGAAAAAGCACAACCTTGGAGGCCGTACACTTGTCCTGAAGCGTGTTTTTTGGGATTCAGAAAAGTGTGTAATTTCCCCCACACATTATTTTGCAATGCTTTTCCAGCAGATTGCCTCAGAATAGCTGTCACACAGATGGCTTCTGCAAATCCTGCCCTTTGCCCCATGCTTCTGTCAATTTAAGGCAGCCTTCGCCAAGCTGGTACTGTGCAGATGTTTGGGATGAGGCAATTCTCAAATGCCCCTGCCAGCACCACTGGCTGACTGGGACTGATGGGAATCAGACTAAAACATCTGCACGGTAGCATGTTAGTGAAGGCTCATTTCAGGAATGCTGCCTGTTTCCTAGGACAGAAGGCCTGGAGTTTATCGGCATTTTAGGCTATACTAAGAAGATTGCCTGCCAAACCATATTTTATTTGTCTACTCTGTAAGGATGCTAGCTGGTTTGCCACTGTAAACATGGCCCCCACAGCATTCCTCATCCCCAGCTGTTGTCAGACTACAACTCCCATCATTCCTGACCACTGGTACTGCTAGCTAGGGATGATGGGAATTGTATTCCAGCAACAGCCAGTGACCCAGGTTTGAGAAACACTGCCAGAGTCTCGAACGCATCCCTCCTAAATGCCCCACCCCACATTTGTAAACTGTTCTGGACATAGACCTAGCTATGCATTTGCTACTTTGTAAAATGTACTCATTTTAAAAAAATATTCAAATATTAATTAAGATGCCTGCACATTACCTTTTATTAATAATAAAAACACAAAGAAGGCAAAACATACAATAGAGCCCTTATAGGACAGCTGCCTGACAAGCTTTTCTCATCTCTATGTGGGGAGAAAACTTGCCCTGCGGAATTTCTGCTTAAAAGGCACAGGCACCCTGCAAACCAGGCAGAAGTTGGCAACCTTCATAACCACCTTCCCTCAAGCTATTACTTTAGTATTCAGAGGGGAACCTGCAAGCACAATCTTCATCCTTTAAGAAGTCAGCACTCAAATTTCCATGTTTAAAGGGGTTTCAGGCACATATATTAGAGGCCAGCAAGCTTGTTGGTTTTTTTACTCAAGCTTCGCCTGTTTCCCAGTGCAGAATTATTGCCACTGTTCTCCTACTTTTAAGAATATCTCTGTCACTTCCTGCACCCACCCAGACAGAAGGATACAGAGACACTAATAATAATAATATTAATTGCAATTATAATAATAAACATATGGGAAAAGGTGTGGCTGATACTGTTAGGGAACAGGGTATGACGTCCATTTTCTCTCTCTTTTTCACACACACAAACACACACCCCTCTAGCCCTTCAAACACACAACCACACGCAGCATCCATAGTATATAATAAAAAGCTATTCTTTTCAAAAAGCAAAACAAAACTTGAAATCCCCCATACGCTTATCTTGTTGATAAAATGCACACACACTAACACACTAATCCTTTAGCTGCTCTTATTTTTTTTATCTGTAAGCCGCCTTGAGTCCCTGGCAGGGGAAAAGGCGGGGTATAGTATTATATAAAGGAATAATAGGACCGCGTTGAAGCCGCCAACCTCGCTAGCCTAACCCTCTGCAGAGTTGTGCAATATACCCTCAGCAGCCCTGCCGGCACCAGAGAAAGCCCCCGACCCGCCGTCCCTGCAACCGCAATTCACTCGCTCCTTACTAGCGCAGCGCAGACGCTGCAAGACTCGCCGGGGGCTTCAGGTCAATGGCTTTTTTCCTAAAGTTCCCGCCCCTGTTCAGCGCGACTCGCCATTGGATGGAACGGAGGAATCCCGCTCTGACGTCATGCAGTTTGCAGTTAGTTTCAATATGTTGAGGCTGGTTACCCGCAGCAACATCAGAGTAAGGTATACTCAGTGCCGGATTTACGTATAAGCTAAACAAGCTACAGTATAGCTTAGGACCCAACTCTCTTGGGGGCCCCCAAAAAAATTAAAGGGGAAAAAACACCTGGATGTACATTTCCAAAATATAAGATAAAAAATAAAACCTACATACAGCAACACTGTTTTGTGTTAAAACAAAAAAAATTCCTTCCAGTAGCACCTTAAAGACCAACTAAGTTAGTTCTTGGTATGAGCTTTCGTGTGCATGCACACTTCTTCAGATCTGAAAGAAGAAGTGTGTATCTGAAGAAGTGTGCATGCACACGAAAGCTCATACCAAGAACTAACTTAGTTGGTCTTTAAGGTGCTACTGGAAGGAATTTTTTTTGTTTTGACTATGGCAGACCAACACGGCTACCTATCTGTAACTGTTTTGTGTTGTGTAGGCTCCTATAATGTAGGTAATGGGCCCCGCCTGCTAGCCTGCTCCTTAAAATATCACTGGTTTTGTTATGTGCAAATAGCTTTAGATACCTATTAGGTCCATAAATTTCCATATAGCATATATTCAACACACACACACACACACACAAAAAACCAACAACAACCAATTTGTTGTTGACAAAGGACAGCTGGACATATAAAGGGCCCCATTACCTTCAGTAGCTTAGGGCCTCATCAGACCTAAATCCGGCCCTGGATATACTGCAGCTGAATATGGAGGTTCCACTCAGCTATCACGGAATATTGGCAGCTCAGGACAGTAGAGAGGAGGAGAGAGATTGGCCAGTCACTTTTGTGCATGTGACAGTATGCACAGCCATTTTGTGCTGGTACCCATGGCACTTTTTTATCAATACAGTGGTACCTTGGGTTACAGACACTTCAGGTTACAGACTCCGCTAACCCAGAAATAGTACCTCGGGTTAAGAACTTTGCTTCAGGATGAGAACAGAAATTGCGTGGTGGCAGCAGGAGGCCCCATTAGCTAAAGTGGTGATTCAGGTTAAGAACAGTTTCTGGTTAAGAACGGGCCTCCGGAACGAATTAAGTACTTAACCCGAGGTATCACTGTATAACCAAATCAGCAATTTTTGATATAACTAAAAACTACTCTGAAAATTTATTATTCCAAAAATGAAACCTTCATCTGGTTGTAAATATTAAGATTATACCAGCGAGAATGAGTCTTTCTGTAAAAGAAAAAGAAAAAGATTTAAATCAGGTCTTACTGACAAGTGATTTAAATCAAGTCTTACTGACTAGTGATTTAAATCAAATCCACCCTGCTTGTGGTGAATATATGCACTTTCCCCTTCCATTAATGTTTTGTGGCCCTCTCTCGTCACCTTTTCTGCTGTTTTAGACGTGGCAGCCATTTTGTGATGTGGCAGCATGACCCTACAGCAGCCATTTTGAGCGCAATGCATCAAACGGAGCCTGCGCAGTCTGTGTTACTGTGGACTGTGAGCATATTAGGAAACTTTCCAGGTTTTGGGGATGGGGGGGTGGCCTTGAAGAGACTATTTGTGACATGCTAGTCACAGAGGACATGCACAGATGGTAACGGTTTATCAACTGCTCATGCCATAGGAGGATCCAAGGGGCCAATGTCTCTTCTCCACCCCTGCAAAATATCTGAGGGGGCTGGAAAATTGATGGTCCAAATGATGTGCATGCACCACATCTTGTGATCAATTATGTGGGGTGGGGCTTACCTGCCCCCCTCCCGATATGTTATCAAATTGGCACTCTTGGCTCCTGCTATCTACATTGCAAAGTGCTTTTGCAAAGTGATTGTCTACGAAAATGCTTTCAGAAAACCCCAAACCGCATCACTTCAAATGCTGTAAGATTGTGCAGGTGCACCCTCTCTACTTTTTCCAACAAATATTTATATCCAACTGTGGATAAATGGGATTCTAATTTTTAAAAATAAAATAAATATTGCACGTAGTTTAGTTTGGGAGTTATGGGATTACTTTGATTCCCACAGCCAACCCACAATTTCTGAGACACAGGTTCCCTTCTGAAACATTGCGAGAACCACAGAATTGTGGAATTGGAAGGAACCACGAGGGTCATCTGGTCCAACCCCCTGCAATGCGAAAATCTTTTATTAAGATGGTGACCCCCCCCCCCCCGCTGATTAGAAGATTAAAACAGCAGTTTTCAGTGATGGGTGCCCATGCGACTGCTTCTCAGCCCAGTTGCAAACCACCTCCTAGTGTTCCGAGTCCTGCTCAGATATCTGCTTTCCATTCTCTCTGGAAATCTTTGCTCTTGAACATGCACATCAGCTACCTTTTGCAAGAGTTTGGTGTCATTGTCTTGTTGGGGGGGGGAATACTTTTGGGGGGCCGCAGCAGCAAACTCCCCCAACTCACACTTCCATCTATCACCTCTGGGCCAGTAGCTTCTACAGCAGCTCTGGAGAATCTTCCTTGCATCGTGCAGGACAGCAGCCAAGCAAGCAGAATCACCTTTTTCAGTCACCACTTCTCAATTGTGATGTGCTTACATGCAGGGAGAATGGAGGATGGTGCCGTAAGAGCAAAGAAAGAAGCAATCGGCTTCCCCTGCCCTTCCTAATTTTGCTTCCCATTTGACTGTGACTGTGTTGCACCGGCAAAGCCAAGAAATCTGTGCGTGCATCAGTTACCACTGCGTATGAAAGCCATGTAAAAAAAATCCTTCCAGTATCACATTAGAGACCAACTAAGTTTGTTATTGGTTATGAGCTTTCGTGTGCATGCACACTTCTTCAGATACACTGAAACAGAAGTCACCAGACCCTACTGGAAGGAATTTTTAAATTTTGTTTAGACTACGGCAGACCAACATGGCTACTTGCCTGTAACTAGAACTATGAAAGCCATGAGTATGCATGGATGTGGCATAGAGATGTATGTGGACCATCCTGGGCCTCCTCCATATTGTGTGGCTGCAGAAGAGCTAGATGGCAGGACAAGGTCTATGAGGAAAGTGTTGGAAACATGGTCTTCTTGGTTACCTGGCAGAGATAATGTTTTGGCAAACTGTCCGGGCCACAATTCTGCAACAGCCAGCAAAATTATCTCCCACAAGCCAATGCTATGGACTATGGGACTTCTACCTGATATAAACAATGGGCCCATAAGTTGAGGGAACCTCAAGATCTGCTGCCAATAGCCTTTCGGTTAGAAAACCAAGGAAAAAAAGAACACCCACATCACAGAGGTCTAAGTTTAATTTAAAAACATCACTCTCTTATACAATGGTGCAACTGGAGGAGCGAGAAGGAAACTGGATCAGCTGAGGAGAAAATGGCAAGAGACCAGCTCCTGTAAACACAGCTGGCCAGCTACTTGTGGGACTCTCCGCTAAGAGAAGGCCTGCTAAGGGGAGACATCCCCAAATAATTCCAAGGACTCCAACCAACCAGCCTGGGGAGGTAACACCGCCCTCACTTCAGAGTGCTGGCGCTGCAGAAATAATTCCTGACACGACAAGCATCCGAGGAAGTCGTTGATCCCTCAGGGTTCAGCTGAGGAAGAGGTGGGAGCAGGGGCAGGAGGAGCCTCTTTTTGAACCAGTTCCGGCTCATCTTCCCCATCATGCGGAGGATGAACAAGCACCTTGTCCAAGATGCCAAATTCCTGGGCTTCGACTGGGCTCATGTAACGATCTCTCTCCATGGCAGCTTCTGTGAGGGTTAAGGACACGTAAAGGCTTAATACATAAACGTGGAAAAACACCAAAAAGTGCGAGCCCACATACCAGGGAGAAAGTTCAGGAGGCCTTCAGAGTCTCCCTGCTCCATCCCAGCTTCCCTCTCCACTGCCATTCTGCACCTTAAGCATCCATGGGTAGACACTGCAAGGACTAACCCTTACTTAGTCTTCCAGGATTATCTGTTTACATACTAATAGAATCAATGCACAAACGCAAGTCCAGCCCTGACCCCACCCGGCCCAATTAATCATCTGGCAGCACCTCTCAAGGCTGACCAGGGAGGGAGCTGGTAGAGAGAGAGAGAGAGAGAGAAATGTCAGTCTCCCAGGGTGAAAGACTGGGAGGAGAAAAAAGATCCCAGGTGAGAGCTGGGAGGAGCTACTGTCCTCTGTGGGTGCTAAGGACCAATAACTGCTGTTAAGAGAAATTCAATTTGCATCTTCTGTAGTTGTAATGTAGCTGTCTTATGGGGAAATCTTAATTAATAAATTAAAAAATATATATCTTTAAAAGGAAATTGTGCTATTACAGAAGGAATTCTTGTTTTATTTATTTTCCTTTTCATCAAAGGGAATCTGCAGCCCTACAGATGTTGGACCACAGTTCATATCATCACACTGGCTGGGGCCAACATCTCTGAAGGGTCACAGGTTCCCCTTCTCTGGTTTATACCCTGCCTTTCTTCCTCCATGGAATTCAAGCTGACATACATGTGGATCTCAGGTGGCCACCCACCCAGACACTGATGAGACAGACTTGCTTGGCTTCAGGTGCCTTCAGAGCCTGCACTGGGACAGAAAGCTTTATCTCACCACAGTGGTGTCCAAGGAAGGAACAGATCCAGACTGGAGGCTGGAACAAGCATATGGCCTCCCTCTCCCTTGTCCGAATGCTAGATACCTCCCCTGGCACACAAAGTTTTGTCTCCCTGCCCCACCTTATGGCTCCGATGCTTCTTACCAATCACATCCAGGGATTGCTTCGTGTGCTTGGCATAGAGGGCATTGATCTGCTTCTTCAGTTTGAGGATCTCCTCGGCCTGGATGGCAATGTCTGTAGCCTGACCCTAGAAGTCAGGAATCAGAGTCAGTGGAAAATGTTACCCTGTCATCTGCTGAGGTCATTCACTCATCAGTGACTGCTGGGAAATGCAGAGGATGGCTAAAGGTAAAGGACCCCTGGACGGTTAAGTTCAGTCAAAGGCGCTCATCTTGCTTTTAGGCTGAGGGAGCCAGCGTTTGTCTGCAGACAGTTTTCCAGGTCACGTAGCCAGCATGACTAAATCGCTTCTGGCGCAACGGGACACCGTGACAGAAACCAGAGCGGACGATAACACCGTTTGCCTTCCCGCCGCAGTGGTACCTATTTATCTACTTGCACTGGCATGCTTTCGAACTGCTAGGTTGGCAGAAGCTGCGACAGGGCAGCAGGAGCTCACCCCACTGCAGGGATTCGAACCGCTGACCTTCTGATCAGCAAGCCCAAGAGGCTCAGTGGTTTAGACCACAGTGCCACCTACGCCCCCAAGGCAGGGATTCGCACCCCACATCCCAGGGAGCAATTTGTCCAGGAAATCATCAAGACAGGGTGCTGGCTAGAGAAGGTGGTGTGGCCCCTGCAAGAGAAAGCAGCAGCAGCAGAAGGGTTTGACTTACCCGTGCCCCACCTGAAGGCTGGTGGATCATTATGCGGGAGTTGGGCAGAGAATGGCGCATGCCTGGTGAGCCCGCAGCCAATAGCAGGGAGCCCATGCTAGCTGCCTGCCCCACACACCATGTGCAAATGGGGTTTAGGATGTACTGCATGGTGTCGTAGATAGCCAGTCCAGATGTTACCGCACCACCTACGGAGGGAACCGAGAAGTCACTAGCGGTCCCCAAATTTAGGCACAGCATGCCTTCTTAAGCTATTTCTTTTTTTAAACACCCAAGTGACATTAAGGATAAGGTGTGAGAGAGGAGATTCTGTAGGGAAGCAGCTCTGATGTCACTCTGTGCTTTTCGCTGCCTCTCACCTGGGCTGTTGATGTACATGTGGATGGGCTTCTTGTTGCTTTCCGACTGCAGGAAAAGTAGCTGTGCAATAACCAAGCTCGCAACGTTGTCATCAATCTGTAGATGGGGAATGCAATGCAGTGGATGAGAAGCAGGGGAACTCCTTGCTGCAGGAAACCCACCTCCTGCTCAAGTCAATATATACCTGAAGTCAAGTATACCTGAAGGAGCATCTCCACCCCCAGCATCCAGCCCGGACACTGAGGTCCTCCTCTCAGGGTCATTTGGCGGTTCCCTCACTGCGAGAAGCGAGGTTACAGGGAACCAGGCAGAGGGCTTTCTCGGTAGTGGCGCCCGCCCTGTGGAATGCCCTCCCTTCAGATGCCAAGGAAATAAACAACTACCGTATTTTTCGCCCTATAGGACACACTTTTTCCCCTCCAAAAATGAAGGGGAAATGTGTGTGCATCCTATGGGGCGAATGCAGGCTTTCGATGAAGCCTGGAGAGCGAGAGGGGTCAGTGCGCACCAACCCCTCTCGCTCTCCAGGCTTCAGGAAGCTATCTGCAAGCCGTGGGAGCCCGCGGGAGTTCCCGCCGGGCTTCCATGGCTTGCGCAGAGCTGCCTGCACCCCAAAGCCCGAGCGTGCTGAGCAGTTGCGCCCGGGCTTTGGGTAGCTCTGCGCAAGCCGCAGGAGGGCTCCTCCTTGCCTCGCTGCAGAAGGAGTTTGTGTACTTACTGGGCCCATGACACAAACAATGCGCTCTCTCAGAAGGCGGGAGTAGATGTCATAAGCTCGCTCGCCACGACCCTGAAACAGAGAGAAGATTAGCACAAGTACCCTCAAGGCCTGGGATTCGGTGCTGGTGGAGGAGGAAAGTCCCAGCATATTTCAGAGGGAAGGACCTCCAGTCTCATATGAAGGAAACAACTAGCTGGAAGCTTTCTTTAGCATGGTTCTAAGAGCAGAACAAAGTTAAGCCATTTTGAAGGCCACTGGAACAGTTGCATGCTGATAAAAACCAAGGCGTGCATCGACAGAAATAAATCCCCCGTAAATAAATTAAGGGACTTAAAACATGGCTGCACCGTGATTCTGGTCTCCACAAACTCCATCCCTGACACTTTGACTGTCACGACCAAAAATAATTAAAATTAAAAAATCATCCACCCTTAGGGAGATATAATAAAAGATGTACAGGCAATAATTTGTGCCATCAGAAGGAAACCTCCTCCAATTGCAAAAAGACTAGCACAATATACAAAGCCCTGTATATTCTTAAATTTCCTTAAGAGCCTTCAAATGCAATTGCATAGTATTAAATGTA